GGAAGAGTGGTGGTGTAAGACCCTTTGTCCAGGGTGGGACACACACACACGTGACCCCCACCATCACTTTCACCTGACAACATCAGAACCCAACATTTAGAATGAGCAGACTCTGCAACCGTGGTGCCTATTTCACTGCCTCTCCTGTGAACTCTGAGGCGGCAGACACCATTGCGTTCACAAAGGTTCGGTAGTTCCATCGTTTCGTAGGGAGACCTGGGTCGGCCGTTGATGGCCCTGGATGGCGATTACCCAGAGGCACTCTGTGATCAATGGGTTTCACACCATGAGAATTTATGAAATTCCGCTAGTCAAAGTTTGGCTTAGTACAGTTGCGGTTGTGAGTGAAGAGACGACTTGGAGTGCGGTTGTTTGTCCTGCATGAATTTGTTTCACCTGTTTCTTACATCATGTTTATATCAAATCAATATCAAATCAATTATGCATTTCAATGTATGCAGCATATGCGCTTTTGCAGATACTCCTTGAGTTATATTGCGCAAGAGAGTATTGATTAAGCCGTTGACAACATTTGACACATTTGCCAAGGGTATTTGTATAGTCACTAGTCAGCAGAGGATCTCGCTACGGCTCAAAGATGTTGAGGCCTGAAAAGGTACAAGAAGCGTGCAGGCCTCAGGTCCGACTCTTTTTGCCAAGTTGTATGCGCTAAGACGAGACCATTGGGGTGCCGCCTGCAAATGTCGTCGTGGAATAAATGGAACAGCGCACAGCGCAAGTCCCATGATGCTCACGCCCCGAATATACATATATATAATATATGGTAGCATTGGATATTCTTGGATTCTGTTGTTGTGTCGCGGTCGGCTTGGGAGTGATGCTTGGATTTGATTAATTATCAAAGTTTTTCATGCTTTTTCAATGCTTTTGTAATGTCTTTTCATGAAAAGACATTGTTACTCGCCACTACGTTTACAACATTGTCTCTTGACTGCCGAAACTCTCTGGGTTGGTCCGGTAATTACCCTGCATGATCGGCCACAAGCACTTCATTCCCGTCTCAGGTTGCCGAAACAACGGCTTTGTGATGACGTGCGGGCAATTCAGAATGTGGGGTGCTAAGCAAAACCCAACATTTTGTTGTGCTGATGAGCTTCTTTGTTCGTTTCACAACTACATTTTGCAAGCGAAACGCCAGTCCTACAAATCTGAGCCAAGTTTTCAACCCTATGGCCTATGGCTGTATGTCAGATAGAGAATCAGGATAATGAGAGGACAATTGATTGTGCGTTTTGTGTATGATGCAACGTCATGAGTACTGTAGCTTGAAACTTGGAGAAACACAATATATTATGTATAATATATATATCTATTTATATAA